AATACATAAATACACAAAATTTAAAAACCCGATAAAATCAAATTAAACTTTTTGGCCCAGACAAATTAAAATACCCCAATAATTTAAAAACAGATTAAAATTTACATATTTAAAAAGGGAAGAGATCAGGCCAAGCCTGCTTGATGGAATAAAAAGGTCTTCACAGCACGGCGGAAGGAGCGCCTTGGGGGTCCAGTAATTCTTTATATCTTATTAATTTATGGCGGGCTAGTGTGTTGGAGTGCGTTACCGCCTCCAATGCAGATATCCAGCTGGGAACCTTCATATAATGTTTATTTTTAATTTCGAACCAAATGCCAATCAGTGAATTTCTTATTATGTGGTTTTTAAAATGTTTATAGGTTTTGTTCCCGGTGTTCCACAAGAAGGCATGCCACCCCTTTAACAAATTGTGGCCTTCCAATTTTACTAGTCTGTAATTCTCCAAATTGACCCACTCCTTAATCCATGTTAAACCTATTGTTGTTGATGATGACCTGTGGTTGAATGTGGTATTGCAGGCTACTAGTGCTGATCACTGGTTGCCAGCAGTTTGGCAGATCAAATCTCATCAGGCTCAGGGTTGACTCAGTGAGTCTCAATGAGGACCCAGATTGTTGGGGGAAATATGCTGACTCTGTCTATTCTACCCTCTGCTTAGAGAGGGTAGAATAGAATAGAATAGAATAGAATAGAATAGAATAGAATAGAATAGAATAGAATAGAATAGAATACCAGAGTTGGAAGGGACCTTGGAGTTCTGTATACCATTTTATTCTTGTTGAGTTCATTCTTGTTGAGTGCTGAGTTCTGGACCCTTTGATTTGGTAAACAGTTGGAGGGAGGACATGTTTCTCATCTTTGCAGATAACCTAGAAGTGGCTAGGATAGATTCAACACTACAATGACAGAAATCAAAATTAGGACAATCTAGAATCCTGATTTAGCATAATGAGTGAAACTGATTTAGTATAATGAGTGAATGAGTATGTGAATAAAAATACATTGCAATTGCTTTGCTTTTCCAATGCTTTCTCAATATCCAAAGAGAGATAGTGTAGAAGGCAGAGGTAATTGCATTGAGAGACCATTACCAAGACAAAGTCAGATAAAAGTAGTACTGATTTATATGATATAGCTTTCCTAATCTGTAATACATCAAAGGGATGACTGACAAAAAGACAAAGACAAAGACAAACACAACATGCACAAAAACAACTTTATATATTTATAGGTAAAGGTTTAAATGGGTATAGGTAAAGATTTCTCCTGTCAGTCATGACCAACCCATCTTTGCTCATCTTTGATTCACAAATGAAGAGCCTTTATCTGAAGATGCTTCCATGGTCATGTGGCTGGTATGACTATGCACTGAAGATGCACGGAACATGGTTACTTTCCCACTAAAATGGTACCTATTTATCTCTTTGCATTTACATGTTTTTTAATTGCTACGTTGGCAGGACACCCACACACCCACACACCCACACTATATGGAAATGGAAATGGAAATGGATATGGACATGGATAAAAAACAGGAATCAATTTTAATACTCATAAGCATACCTTCACTTTATATACATTTATGTACAGTATATGGAAATGGAAATTGATATTGATATGGATATGGATATGGACAATGATAAAGAACAAGAACCAATTTTAATACAAGAACCAATTTAGCACATCTTCATTGTCACATTAGGTGTCTACATGAATTTCCCCCCAAATCATTCAGAGTTGTACATATTTTTCTTTTGATTGAAGACTGTCAAAATAATAATTTGTCCCATGTTGATATTTTATCTATTCTCAATATATAGAATGTTATCTGTGTCTCTGTTTTTATCTTTCCCAATCTCTCCCATCTAGCTATCTCATTTATCTATCTCTGAGTAATCTTACATTATCCAGCCAGAAGAGATTAATCAAATATATATTTGAAATTAACTATTTTTTAAAAAAAAATCAGAACATCACCCAGAAAATAAAATATAACACCAGCAAACCAACCTATATAGTTACAAAAACGTACATCATCATTAGCCATAGTCTTTAATTTAATCTAAAATCGTATCAGAACATCTGTGGTCACAGTTTATGTGGCCTTGTTTCAGAAATTATATTATTATTATTATTATTATTATTATTATTATTATTATTATTATTATTATTATTATTATTATTAATAATAATAATAATAATAATAATAATAATAATAATAATAATAATAATATTTTTTTATTATTTAAAAAGTACAAACAAACATAAATACAACAATACAACATACAAAACAAATGAACATCAATCAAGTCTTACGACTTACTCTTAAAGTTGTCACATTGGTAGACTATTTTTCGGTATTTATCTATATATCTGTATATTTACCAATTTATATGTAAAACATGTAAATTACATGTAAAACATTAATATACGTTCCATCTTTAAGATTGTTACTTTCCTTAACTGGTACTCAAAGTTTTATCTTAAAGTTGACCTTATTCTTTAGTGTCCCTATAAATGTATTTCTAACTTTTTCTCCAACCAGTTATACCATTTTTGCCATCTAAGTAGTACTCTGTGTCATCTTTCTCCTGTAGTTCTTTTGTAAGTTTATCCATTTCTGCGCATTCTGTGATTTTAGTGATTATTTTGTTTTCTGTCGGTATGTGTTCCTGTTTCCAATTTTGGGCAAAGAGTATGCGAGCTGCAGTTAGGATATTGATAATAAGTATTTTATCTCTTTCTCATACTGTGCTGTAATTATTCTGAGTAGAAAGGTTTCCGGCTTCATTTCCAGTTTCTGATTTGTGATTTCTTCTATCATTTTCCTTATTTTGTGCCAATATTGTTTCACCTTTTGGCATGACCACCATAGGTGGCAATATGTTCCTTTATGTGCATTACACTTCCAGCAAATTGGCGAGGTGTTTGGGAACAATTTTGCTAGGCGCGCTGGTGGGAGGTGCCATCGATAGAACATTTTGAACCGATTTTCCTTGTAGGGTATAGACATTGTCAGTTTATAATTTACAGTCCATAATTTCTCCCATTTGCCCAATTCAATACTATACCCAAAATTTTTTGCCCAAATTATCATGTTTTCTTTAACCACTTCTTCCTCTAATTTATATCTTAATAAATAATTGTATATTTTGGTTATCATTTTCTCGTCCATTCCTTGTAAAATTTTATCCAATTCATTTTGTTCATTTTGAAATCCGAATTGTGCCCGATTTGATTTATACCTTGATTCTATTTGTAAATATGGCCACCAGTCAATGTCTATACCCTGTTCTTTCAATTCTTGTCTCGATTGTAATTCTCCTCTATTATTCAATTCAGAATTATTCAGTTCTTTGTAGTTTCTCATTTTCTCCATGTCCATAGCGTTAGGATAAATCAGTGCCTCCATAGTCGATAACCATCTCGAAATTTTGTTGTAATGTGTTTTTCTGATCTCTTGCCATATTCTATGTAATGATCCTCTAATAATATGTTGTTGGAAATATCGATGATGGTTATCTCTTCCCTCCCACAAAAATGTGTGCCAGCCTCGTTGTAGGTTGAATCCCTCTAGAAGTAGTGTTCTCTTATTTTTAAAGATCTATCCAGTCTCTAATCTAATTTAATGATGCCACCTTGTACAATTTCCAGTCTGGTAACCCTAATCCTCCTTTCTTCCGGGTATCTTGCAAGCATTTTATTTTAATTCTGGCCTTCTTCCCCTGCCAAATATACTTTGCTATCATTTTATCGAAGTCTTTGAAAAAATCCTTTCCTGGCCAAATCATAGTTACTTGGAAGAGGTATAGCAGTTTGGGTAGTATATTCATTTTAAGGGATACAATTTTTGGTTTCAGAAATTTTATTAATGCCATTGATGATATTTATGATTTAATATGAATTCAGATTATGACAATTGAAGGATATGATTATTTCAAATACTTTGAGTTGTTTTAGCAACTTTACTACTGAATTACTGAAGATGCTTCCATGGCTGGCATGACTATGCACTGAAGATGCATGGAAGATTGTTACTTTCCCACTGAAGAGGTACCTATTTATCTACTTGCATTTACATGCTTTTGTATTGCTGGGTTGGCAGGACACATACAGAGACACACAGACACTTTATGTACAGTATATGGAAATGGAAATGGATATTGATATGGATATGGACAATGATAAAAAACAAGAACCAATTTTAATACTCCTAAGCACATCTTCATTGTCACATTACGTGTCTACATGGTTTTCCACCCCAAATCATTCAGAGCTGTACATATTTTTCTTTTGATTGAAGACTGTCAAAAATAATAATTTGTCTCATTAATTTATTCAAAGGGATGGAGAAAAAAATTAAAGTTGCTCCAATGTTCATGTTGATATTTTATCTATTCTTAATATATAGAATATTATCAGTCTCTCTATTTTTCTCTTTCTTGATCTTTCCCACCCCTTTCTCTCTCTCTCTCTCAGATTATCTATCTATCTATCTATCTATCTATCTATCTATCTATCTATCTATCTATCTATCTATCTATCTATCTATCTATCTATCTATCTATCTATCTCATTTATCTAACAATGAATGATCTTACATTATTGAGCCAGAAGAGATCAATCAAATATATACAGTATTTGAAATTAACTATTTTTAAAAACAAAGTCAGAAAACAAAGTCACCCCAGAAAATAAAATATAACACCAGCACACCAACCTATATAATGACAAAAACACACATCATCATTAGCCATAGTCTTTAAATTAATCTAAAACCATATCAGAACATCTCTGGTAACAGTTTATCTTGCCTGGTTTCAGAAATTTTATTAATGTCTTAATATGAATTCAGATTATGACAATTATTTCAAATAGTTTGAGTTGTTTTAGCAACTTTACTACTCAATTATTATAATTCAAAATTCACATGGAATAAAGAAAGATAAGTGACAAGACATAAAATATTACTTCAAAGTATGTGATTTTATGCTGCATGTAAACTGTACAAAAATAAATACCAACACAAGGAATCTTAATTATTTTTTATCATGAGATGTTCTTTGGTGTTCATGTCAGGTCTCAGGATAATAATGTAGCATTTGGGGATAAAGATGCAGCCCAGTAAACCCAGACCAGAGGCCAGGATGGAGAAGATCTGCACGGCTACCATGTATTTTCCCTTGGTGCTCAGATATGTGGGAACAAAGGAGATCCAAACGCTACAAAAAACCAACATGCTGAAGGTGATCAGTTTGGCTTCATTAAAGGCCCCTGGCAGATTTCGAGCCAGAAATGCCACCAAGAAACAGATGGCAGCCAAAAAACCCATGTAGCCAAGAACAGAGTAGAACATGGTGATAGAGCCTTCATTGCACTGCAGCAGGATGTGTTCTGGTTGGGAATGAAAGTCAGAATCTGGGAATGGGGGAAAGACTCCCAGCCACATCATACAGAGGCCTACTTGAATACCAGAGCAGGATAAAACAATAGAGTTGGCCAGACTCTTCCCCAGCCATTTCCTCATGCTGCTGCCTGGCTTTGTGGCCAGAAAGGCCACCACCACCATGACAGTCTTGGCCAGCAAGGAAGACACAGCAACTGAGAAAACAATACTGAAAATGGTTTGTCGGAGGAGACAGGTCATTTTCACGGGGCGACCGATGAATAGAAGGGAAGTCAAGAAAGAAAGAAGGAGTGAAACCAGGAGGATGTAGGTGAGTTCACAGTTGTTGGCTTTGACTATGGGAGTGTCTCGGTATTTCATGAAGATTCCCAGAATAAAGGCGGTAGTTAGGGACAAAGCAATGGCAAAGAAAGCCAGGATGAGTCCCAACAATTCTTGGTAGGATAAGAAGCTTATATTTTTGGGGACACACTGATCTCACTTCTTATTGGAATACTGGTCATCTGGACACTTTTCACAATGGGCTGCATCTGAGAAAAAAATGGTTAGCATGAATCTGTTTCTGCAGCTGTAGGAGCATGAAAACCACATCAGAAATCAGTTACTTCATTTTCAAGGAATAATATAATATTTCTCCCCAGGGATATCCATACAAAACAACATTAGTTAAAAGAATCAAACTGTCTTTTTAAAGGCTGAACATGAATTTGATTATCAGCTCTCAAAACTTGTCCTCTTTCCCAAAACCAAGCAAGAAAGTAACAACACAATAGAAATCAGCAACCTTTCATTATTTTAATGCTCATATCATCATCCAAATTTGGCAATAGTGCCCAATCTTTGAAGTTTGTGGATTAAGAAATTTAATGTTTTTCTTGCTTCTTGATCAAATACCCCCCCAAACAAGATAAAATATTGATTGTATCTTGATTTTTTTTGGGGGGGGGCTTATTTTTGGATCCATCTACTGTACCTTCTAGACCAGAGAATGTTCCTTCCATACACAGAGAACAGTCGTAGCAGCAAACTGGAGCTCCCTCTCTCACAAGCTTGGCATAACCTGGGGAGCAACTTTCAGTGCATCTAGAAGAAGGCACCATCTAAACATAAACAGAAATATTAGTCAGGGTGATATATGAATTATTAGGATTTACTGAAATCAAGTGGCTTCCAGAAGCTCAGGAGCACATTGAGCAAAATCAGTCAAGAAGTAATGGCATGAACTTTAATTACTCTACCTGCAAGGGGCAAATGAAAGGTCATTCTCTTTCTCTATCAATCTCCATTGTAGATCCCAAAACAGACTCATTGCCTCATTCTTTTTTCCAAAGGAAAGTAGTTCCATTGCAAAATGTGTTTCTCCTTAGGGCATGTATGAGAATGCTATAACTTACCGTATTTTTCGGACTATAAGACGCACCAAGATTTTGAAGAAGAAAACAAGAAAAAAAGTTTTTGCCCTTCGCAGCACACTAGGAGCACTTTGCAGGCCTCCCAAACCGCTGTGCCTCCTGTTTTTGCAAGAAACGGGCCTGTTTTTCACAAAAAAGGGATGCACAGAGGGTTTGGGAGGCCTGCAAAGTGCTCCTAGTGTGCTAGGAGGGCAAAAACGCAGTGGTTGGGAGGGACGTGTGTCTTATACTTTGAAAAGTATTTCATATATTTCTCCATCTTTGCTTTCTCAGGAAACCTCCAACATCTAGCTTTCTCTAGAGTCCCTATCTTTCTCTCCTACAACTGATCGTTGTATTATCATATGTAAATGACTTTTTTTAGCTACACACATTTCTTTTACCACATTCTTAGTGATACCTTTCTCTTATGCAATTCAGTGGCTAAACCCTTCTTATTCTGGATTTTTTTCCCCAAAGGTGCTTTTTCAAAAGACAACTGATCAATCTTCCACTTCTTATTCCCGAAGCTTCTTCGGTTCTGACTGAATGGTGAAGTATGGAAGGATTTATATTCCTTGCAGTCATCTGGTCATTAGCAGTCTTTTTGAAAGTTGTTGAGGCCACTTGGAATTTATCTGTGCCCTCAGGGACACATGAATAGTGCAAATGTGTATGAAACCTTCCTGCAATTGCTGAACCTATATCCTGTTTACAAGACAGTCTTTTCAGCGGTTCCAAATCTTTCCATCTTCCACCATTCAGTCAGAACTGAAGAAGCTTCTTGAATGAGAAGTGAAACACCTTCAAGGGAAAACAAAGTCCAGGTGCCTTTTGAAAAAGCACCTTTGACACAACCTGGATGACTGATTTTCTCTTACTGAAAACAAGATCATTTGATGTACTATAAATTATGGCAACATATCCCAGTTTACTAATGTAAATTGCAAATCCTGCAATACAATGCAGCAGATTCCAGTGTGTGATAGATTATTGTAAAACCTCTAAAGTAAAGTGATATGTAATAAATTAAGTTTTCTTATATGGAAGTTATCTCAATTGGTCTCAATAAGAATTATTTCTTAGCAGATGGAGATAAATAGCAAAATCCAAACAGCCTCAGCCTACTTTGTTAAATAAAGTTGGCCATTGGACAGCACTTTGATTGACAGAAATCTTGACTTCCGAGGAGGCTTGTCTTTCTACAGTCCCAATTTTCACCCCTGCATGTGATTTGTTCAAAACGGATGTCCACTGCATGATATCAAAGTCACCAACCGGAATTCCATTTTCATCAAAATAAATCTCATCTCTGGAAATATTGTGATGTTGGAAGTTTCTCAGGAACCTATGAAGCTGAAGAAACATAGAAAAAACGTTACAGTTTGAGCCTTTATTCAATGTTTTTTTTCTTGCTATTATTCTGGATTGGAGGTACTCTGAATAATTCAACCTGTTCAGATCACCACTGCAGTCTGAAGCAGATTGATTCAGCATTTCATGGGAAACTTCTTTTAGTCATTCTCCAGGAATTTACATCTCTTTTCAAATACTGTATTTTTCGGACTATAAGACACACTTTTTTATCTCCCAAAAGGGGTTGAAAATGTCTGTGCGTCTTATAGACCGAATATTGTTGAAGCCCTGCCCTCCCACCAGCTGTTTTTTAGCCTCTTCATGCCCTGTTTTTTGGTCTTTATTCGGCCTTTTTCAGTCCTTTTTTGGCCCATTTTTAGAGCTTTTTTCAGCCCATTTTTGAAGATTTTTGGGGCATTTTTTTCCAACCCCCCCCCCAGCCAAACAAAGTGTTGCATATTGAATTGGAGTGAGGATAGGCTTCAGTCAGGTCCTCCAATCTGGAGGGAAAATACTCAAACCCTATTGGCCGATCTGTCTGACTGCTCCCTATAAAAGGACAAGCAGTCAGATGAGCTGACTTCTGGGTTGCACCGATTTACTAATGAAGAGCTGTTGTTACTGTTAGCACTGGTGACGAAAGTTGTATTGGAAGAGGAGTGAACAAAAAGAGCTGAATTAGATCGCAGTCCCAACGGAAGAGGGGACCACCAGCAGGCATCGACAGGCTACTACTGCAGGGACTGAACTGCATCAGCCATCACAATGACTGCTCATGCCTCGCCAACTGCATTCAACCCAGCAACAGACATTTGGGACTCATACATGGCCAGGTTTGAGTGTTTTATGGAAGCAAACAACCTCCTGGGACTATCAGACATTTGGAAAAGAGTGTTATTCTCAGCTATTGTGGAAATGAGGTGTTCGACACGTCTAAGGGCCTAGAACCTTGGTGGTGCAGTGGACTAAAGTGCTGTTAAGTAGCACTTAGCTACCAGCTTCCTGCAATTACTGTGAGTTCAAATCTCACCAGGCTCAAGCTGCCTGATCGTCAAGCTGAGTTTGACGATCCAAGCTGACGATCCAAGATGATGCTTGATGATCCAAGCTGAGTTGCCTGATCGGCAGAGGCATTTAAAAGAAAAAAAGTCTCTGACGATCAGGTAACTCAGCTGGCATCATCAGAGCCTTCTGAAAGCATTTTTTAACAACCTCTTCACCGAAGAAGTTGTAGAAAAAATGGTTTTAAAAGTTTTTTAAAAATTGGCCATGCTCACCCAGTCACATTACCCCTGCCCCCCCAACAAGCTACGCCACAGAACCGGTAATAACAAATTTTAGATTTCACCCCTGCATCAAATACATTTGCTTGTCAACGTCCATCATGTTTCCCTAAGATAGACATTCAAAATGTTCCATCTATATTCATTGATGCCATAGATGCAAGCTTAGTAACACATTTAGAAACAATTTTACAAACAATTTTACAAGCAAGTTTACAAGCATGTCTAACATCTCTTGAAAAAAAAATAGAAATGATAAATAAATACCTAAATGCTCAAAATACTACCTCAACTCAACAAAAACCACCTCAATCTCAACCACAAGTAACCATCAACTCAGCAAATAATTCAAACCCACCAAATAATATATTCTTACTTCTCAAAGACACCATGGAACGTGAACAAAAACGTCCAAATGCTATTTTATTTGGCCTGGATGACAACTATGAATCTGATGATATCACAAAGGTTCACAACATTATAAAAACTCCAATAAACCAAACATCTCCCCTGATGATATTATCAAAATTTCAAGAGATGGCCCTGAGTTCAAATACAACAATAGCTCGTTAGCTCTACGATTTTGCAGTGTTATTTGCAAAAATGAGTCCATCAAATGTATATTCATACATATGATAAATTCAATCACCAAAACCAATATCAGCCATAACAAACTTTGCTCATGTCTCGACTTATCCATATTGCAAAGAATCCACTCCCATGAACTCATTTCGATTCTTACTTTGTTACAGAGCCCCAGATTATGACACTGAACATGCAAACAAGTTAATTTCACTACTAACCTGGGCAGCCTCCTGCCCACACCCAATAATCTTTTTTGGTGACCTTAACTTACCACTTATTAATTGGACCCTAAATGAATGGACAATTGAACCTATACATCCAACCCTGTACAATATTGTAACTAATCTGGGACTTGATCAACTACTAACTAACAACACTAGACTCAACAACTGCCTTGATCTCATCTTCTGCAACAGTTTAAATTCAATTTATGGACTACAAATAAAAGAACCATTCTCCAACAGCGACCACAGCATGATTGACTCAACTTACGCCCTCTCAAAAATCATCATAATGATGGGATTCCCAGTTATAACTTTAAAAAAGCCAACTATGATCTCATAGACAATGAACTCTCATATCTTGATTGGCAAAATCTATTTTCTGGCTGTAATACTGCTGACGACCATCACAACACTTTCTTACACGAAGTCAAAAGAATCATTAAACTTTACGTACCACTAATACCCCACAAAACCAGAAAAAATAAACTACCAATAACGATAAGGAAATTACAATCCAGAAAAAAATCTCTTTG